ACTTATTCAGTCATTACCCAATTGACTGGCATTACCTCACTTTCCAACTCTTTGCTACCACAAAAAGAGCTGTTATAAACATTTTTGCCCATGTGGGTTATTTCCCCTTTTTATGATCTCTTTGGAATACAGACTTAGAAGTGGTATTGGTGGATCACAAGGTATGTAAATTTTTATAGCCCTTTGTGCATAGTTCCTAATGGTTCTCCAAAATAGTTGGATAAGTTCACAACTTCACCAAGAGTGCATTTCCCCACATGTCCTCCAATATTTCCCATTTTCCCTTTCTGTCATATTAGCCAATCTAACAGGTGTGAGGGGATACCTCAGAATTGTTTTCATTTGCATTTATCTAATCAGTAGTGATTTAGAATATTTTTATATGGCTATAGATAGGTTTAATTTCTTCATCTGGAAACTGCCTGTTCCTACCCTTTGACCATTTATCGGTTGGAAATGACTTGTATTCTGACAAATTTGACTCAGTTCTCTGTGTATTTGAGACATGAGGGCTTTATCAGAAACACTTGCTATAAAAATGGTTTCCTATTTGTCTGCTTTCCTTCTAATCTTGGATATGTTGGTCTTGTTGGTAAAAGAAAAAAACCTTTTTAATTTAATGTAATCCAAATAATCCATTTTATATTTCATAATCTTCTCTATCTCTTGTTTCGTCAGAATTCTTGCCTTCTCTATAGATCGAACAGGTAAATTATTCCTTGCTCTCCTAAATTGCTTATGGTATCAGCCTTTGTGTCTAAATCACATACCCATTTTGACTTTATCTTGGTATATGGTGTAAGATGTTGGTCTATGCATTTTTTCAACTATTTTGAGTGGATCTTTTTATTATTGCCTTTGGGATTTGTCTATATTATGTGGAAGAGCAATTTGTTATTGTGGGTTTATTTTGTAGTCTGCAACTTTTTTTTTGGAGCTATTACTTTCTTTACTGATTTCCTTGGATTTTCTAAGTAAACTACTATGTCATTGACAAATAGGAATAACCGTCTCTCTTCTCGGCCTATTTCTGTCACTTTCTTCCTCCTATATTATTGCTATTGCTAGCATTTCCAGAAATATCTTAAAGCTTAATTGACTAAAGAGAAATCTGCTAATCTAATGATTGATAAGGAAATAGCTGGACGTAGCTTTGGATTATTAGAGAAATCAAGTAATGAGAATGAAGAAGATAATGAGTCAAGTAACAGGTTAAGGGATGACCAACAAGTGGATGGTCAATCCTGTATGCACTTCTTACAGGAGGGATTTCTTCCCAATATGGTTTGGATTAGATGGTCCCTGAGATCTGTGGAGAAGCCCCCCGAACTTGTGTTCTTCAATTAACCTATTTTCCAGAGATGAAGCTCCCCTAATCCAACATAACAGTGATCTTTCATAACTGAACTCTATCAGTCTTTCTGGCTCTGGCCAGTCTGCCCAGACTGATAAACTGTTTGTGCAGCTGAGACCCTTTCACATGAGCAGAACATCCTCCCTCCATGGTCTGATGTTCCAAGTCCTCCTGCTCCCTCTCATTCTCCCTCCTCTACTGCTGCATTCCTCCTCCCACATCACTTTCATTTGGGAAGGGATTGCCCTGTACTCCTCCCATGAGACCTCTCCTTTTCCCTGTACCCCATAAATATCAAAGGCATTGTCTGTGGGTTAGGCTCCTTGGTATGTTGAGTTCCCACATGCACGAGCCTTTCTCCTGTAATAAATGAAGTGGCTATATATGTCTTGTAGAATTGTGACTTTGTTTAAAAGATCCAATTTCCACAACTAAAATTCTGCAATTCTGTGACATCCTTTGACTTACAATAGATGCTGATTAACTCAGGGAAGATTCTAAGGATTATGCCAATTGGGAATAAAAAATCCCTGGAACAAGTTAAAATTGCTATTTTGGGGGAGCTAACAGCCCTCAAGAAAGTTCTGGGAACTTCATCAAATCTCTATCCCTTCATCTGAGAGATGATGGGCACTAAAAGAATCATGGAATCTCAGAGGTGGAGGGTCCTCTGAGGCCCTTTAGTCTAATCCATCCCTGCCAAGAATTACCTTTATATACTCCCTGACTCTTCCAGGAAGGGACAAGGATTGAGTGCATTCCAGACACGTGCAACTGTCTGCAGAGACAGGAAATGAAATGTCGTGCCAGAGACAGCAAGCAGACAGGCTGAACTAGAACATAATGTGTGGGAGCCAGATTGTGGAAGGATTTCTATGCCAAGCTGACTACTGAGTTAATTTCAGCTCTTTTCTCACTATAGAATCAAACTAAAGTCATTCTTTCCATACTCCTTCACTTACTCCTATTCTTTCTTATGCATTTACTAAATTCTCTAACATTGAACTTGCTATCTTCTCACTATCAAGAGTCAACCTTTACAGAATTTGTTCTAGGAAAGACAAACAAAATTAGCCTGCATGTGCATGTTTATTTCTCTGAAGCTGGCGAATCATGCATATAGAGATATACATGGACATTCATTGTGAAAATCAACTCAAGGAAGCATAGACAAAGGGGATTTTATATCTTCAGAGTCATTCTATCTCACCCCTCCCTTATTTTGGGTCTCAGGATGCCTGTGTCCTTCATTAGCCAAAATTATAGTTTCATAAAACAAATAGTGTGGCCTCAGGATTTCTAGTTTTCTGCCAACAGTAAACATAGGGTATTATAAAGAAGGAGTGTCAAGATAGTGCCTCTAATGTGGTAGGGCCATAAAAAGATAAAGGTAATGTCCAGTGGGCCATGTCATTGGCAGAAGAATATTCCCAGTCAGCAAAATCCAGCAGGAGGGCTTGGGTTCACTCAGTGAGCAAAGCAAAGCATGTCTGTTATGTCAGAGCATGCAAAGCATTATGGAAGGTTAAGTTCAGAGTGGTTCAACAAATGTCTTTCTCCTGATTGGCCAATCCAGGCTTTAGGCCTTTCTAAGGTGAGAGATGTTCCAGCTGGTATGGGAAGGAGGGTAAGCTGGTTAACATCACATAACTGTACTTCACTCAACAAGTCAGTCACTCTAACTCCCAATAGCGAGGGCCCAGACTATACTCCAGTCTTTACCACACCCAGACAAGTCTCTAACCATTCCATAGACCAAATATAGCCCCAGTGCTTCTTTCTGACTTTCTGTGGTCTCCCGTGTAGAGCTGTGACTCTTTTGCATAGCTACCTAGAGGCAGCAAGGTGGGGCAATAGTGGTAGCAATGGGTTGGGATTCAGGAAGACCTCAGTTCAAATCTAGTCTCAGATGCCTAACTAGCTGTGTGATGCTGGGCATTTTCCTCAACTGTAAAATAGGGGTGATAACAACAGTATGCAATTCCCAGGGTTGATGTGAGGATCAAATGAGACATGTGTAAAGTACTAACTGAGTGCCTGCCATACTGTAGTTGCTTAAAAATGTTTCTTTCTTTCCAAACCCTTGATTTTACAGATGGGGAAACTGAGGCTAGGAGGGCCTCTTCCTTTCACCTTTCTATCCACTTGTAGATCTCACCACATTTTACCTTTAAGGGAATTGGCTATGATTGGGTACATTTAATGGCATGCCACCCCTAACAGAGCCATTGAAACACATTCCCACTTCCCTGGGGAAGGTTCTTGGAGTCATGTTGTCTATTTACTTGGGGCCTCCTTGGCAGCTCTGAGTCCTCAATAGGAGAGTGGGTGGAGACTGGCTAAACCACAGAGTCTCAAAATGAAAAGACACCTGAGAAGCCTCCTAGACCCACTTCTACCTGGACAAGAACCATTTTCTACAACATCCCTGAGAAGTGGTCACGCAGGGGCTAGTACAGAATGATCACCAAGGAAATCTTGCCTCATATTCATTAAGAATTTGATGAGGGTAGAAGCACTCTTTGTCTTAACACTTGAAAGATCATAATGAGGAGGAATTAGCATTGATCTGTTTGGCTCCCCAAGGGCAAGACTGGGGGAAAGTTACAAAGGGGCAAAATTAGGCTTGATGCCAGGAAAGATGTGCTAAGGATTAGAACTGTTCAACATAGGATGGGCGGCCTGGTGAGGTGATAGCTTCTGCCTTATGGGAGCCCTTCAAACCTCCATTTTAAGTAGCAGGCTCTAGCCAACCATGTCTTCATTCCTCTCAGTACCACATTCCTTACTCTCCCACTACTTTCTTAATGGTACCTTCCTCCTTTTCTCTTCCTCCACCCCCGCCATCTTTTATCTGTTGTATGCCTCCATCAGAAAGTTAGCTCCCACTGTTCTTGGGTTGTCTTTCTTCTGGTATTCGTATTACTAGAGCTTAGCACTGTGTGTTCAAATCCTGCCTGAAACACTTCCTAGCTGTGGGACCTTGGGCAAGTCACTTAATCCTGTTTCCTCATTTGCAAAATGAGCTGGAGAAAGAAATACCAAACCACTCCAGTTTCTTTGTTAATGAGACCCCAAATGGGATATGGAAAAAAACCCCAAAGAACTGAAGAGCTTCAGGAGGTGAAAGGTCATAGAAGTCACCAGAAATTGGGAGAGTGGTTACTGTTATGTAATTCAAATTTTGACATTTGACACTTCAGGTGAAGTGGTGGGGGCAGCTCCAACTGGCTCTTGTGAACCCATTGTCATATTTGCCCCTCTGAAATCAGAAAATGCTACCATTCAGGGCTTCGTTTTTCCTTCTGTTGATTGTCTAGACTTAAGTGTTGGAAAAACGTTACTAATAGAGATTAAATTAGGAGTGTGTCATGGATATATTTGTTTGTTTCTTTTTTTTCCCAGAGAGGTTGTTATTACACATTTACCAGCATATCCCTGCTGTATAGATAAATTTTCATATGTCTTCTTTTTCCTTTATACATTTCATCTAATTTGTTCTCAAATATGCCTAAGACAAAGTCTGAGGAGAAAGTCCTTTAAGAAACACTTAGCCCCAATTTCCCTGAAGTGCCCTTTGATCCGGTTCTATTTTGTATTAAAGGCCAGGCCAGGCATCTGATTAGGCATTTACCAGAAGGCTGTGCAGAGGAAAAGATGTGGAAGACTTCCCTGCTGCCCAAGGTCCTGACTTTGGGCATTCTGGGCATCCTGATTCAAGGCCCAGGTGAGCAGCTCTTCCAGGCTGATCCAGAGAGGAGATGATTTCGGGGGGACATGGGAGGAGTACTTCGATTTTCTCATGAGAGATACAGGACTTGAGCATTTTTTTTCTCTTGTTGCCTTCACTGACTGATTGGGTGGGTGGTCTGGGGGCGGGGGGTGAAGGATTATTGTTAGTTTGATTTCAGGAGGCTAAACTCAGTTTGCAGCTAAGAAATTGATGTATTCTCCAAGTGTTACTTACAAAAACTCTTCTATCAGCTGCTGGTGGAGTAGGGAGAGAGGGAAAGCTGAGTGATTTTCAAAGAGGTAGGTAAGAATAAGGCTTAGGGGAGGATCTTTTTTCAGACTGGAAACAAAAGCGCTGAGTTTACATGAGAAAATGTGGCACAGCTTATTTCTTTATTTCTCTTTCTTCTTTTTTTCGTGAATAGTATTTTAATTTTTCCAACTACATATAAAGATAGTTTTCAACATTCATATTTTTTCCTTGCAAAAATATATTTACTAATACTGGCATTAACAATGAGAGCAAAAAGGCTTTTTGTATTATTGTTATATAAAATACAAATTCTTTTAAAATACTGTTTACTTTATCTCATTCTTTTAGAACTTCTATTATGTGTATATTTTATGATGTACACTATATATTAGTATAGTAATATATCATTTTTAGAAAATCTATAAACTGTATTAAACATCTTAAAAATTATTCAGGTAACAAATATCTTTTCATTGATATGCCCCTCTTACCCACCACTCCTCCATTAAGCAAATTAAAAACAAAACAAAACATATCTTTTAATACATATCTATAAAGTCTGAAAAAAAAACAAATTCTTACATTAACTGTGTCTGAAAATGTAAGGTTTTTTTCTGCATTTTAACTTCATCACCTCTCTCTCTTTCAAGAGGTAAGTGGAATATTTTGTATTCATTCTTTTGGATTCATGTTTCATCAGGATTAGTTAGATAAGAGTTCTAAAGTCTTTCCAAGTTGTTTTTCCTTAGAATGTTGTTGCCATTGTATAAATTGTTTTGATTCTGCCTACTTTGCTCTCCACTCATTCATAAAGGCTTTCCTGGTTTCCACTGAAATTGTCCATTTCATTATTTCTTATTGGGACAGTAATATTCTGTTATGTTCATATATCACAATTTCTTTAGTTATTACCCAGAAAAAGGACAGTTCTTGGCTACCATGAAAAGCTACTGTAAGTGTTTTTGTGCCTATAGGTCCTTTTCCTCTCTCTTTGATCTCTTTGGGCATAGATCTAGTGGTTATATTGCTAGCTCATAGGGTATGCACAGTTTGGTAACTTTCTGGACATGGTTCCTAATACTTCCTAGAACGGCTGGACCACATCACAGCTCTAGTAACCATGCACTAGTATACATGTTTTCTTATAGATCCTCTAGCATTTGTCCTTTTCTTCTTTTGCCAGTTTGATATTAGGTATACAGTGGAAACTCAAATTTGCTTAAATTTGCATTTCTTTAAGGATTAGTGTTTTGAACATTTTTATGTGATTTTTGATAACTTGGCTTTTTTCCTTTGAAAGTTTTCTGTTCATATCCTTTGCCATTTATCTATTGGAGAATGGTACTTAGAAAATAATGTGATTACTTTCCTATGGATCTTGGAAATAAGAGAAACTTGCTTCAGAGATTTTGTCCACCTACATTTATAAATTTTAACAATCCAAATATGAGATCCTTGACCAGTGACAAATGAATAGTGGAATCATATCAATCTTGAAATTCTTGCTATAAATCGAATCAGAAAACCAAGAGTGGCTCACAGGTTCTTCTTGGAGAGGTAAATAAAAGATGTGGTAGAGTTGGTTTTATTGTATGCCTAAAGGCCACAAGGAATCCCATTTCATGGGACCTTTGGAATCCATTAAAATGTGTGTTTGTTGCAAACAGGGTATGCCCATTTTTATAGCCCTTTGGGCACAGTTCTGAATTTTTCTCCAAAGTAGTTGAATAAGTTCACAAATCCACCAAGAGTACATTAGTGTCCCAATTTCCTCACATCTTCTCCAATATTTATCATTTTCCCTTTCTGTCATATTAGCCAATCTGAGGGGGTACCTCAGAATTGTTTTAATTTGCATTTGTCTAATCAATGGTGATTTACAGCATTTTAGTATGGCTATAGATAGCTTTAATTTCTTAATCTAGAAACTGCCCTGTTCCTACCTTTTCATTTATGAGTTGGGGAATGACTAGTATTCTGATAAATTTGACTCGGGTCTATGAGTCTTTGAGAAATGAGAGCTTTATTAGAAACACTTGCTACAAAAATGGTTTCTTATCTATCTGCTTTCCTTCTAATCTTGGTTATGTTTGTTTTGTTGGTGAAAACCTTTTTTAATTTAACATAATCCAAGTGATCCATTTTTGTATTTCATAATGTTCTCTGTCTCTTGTTTGGTCAGAAATTCTTGCCTTCTCCATAGATCTGACAGGTCAACTGTCCCTTGCCCTCCCAATTTGCTTATGGTATCACCCTTTGTGTCTACATCAGTATCCATTTTGACTTTATCTTGGTATATGGGGTGAGATGTTGGTCTATGCCTAGTTTCTGTCATACTGGTTTCCAGTTTTCCTAGAAGTTTTTGTCAAACAATAAGTTCTTATCCCAGAAGCTGGAGGCTTTGGGTTATTTCTTTATTTTCATGCTCCCAAACCACTATGATTATAGAGGAGAAAATGAAGCCCAGCTGATGTATGTTAAAGTCACTCGCAGGCATTTTGTATAGGGTTATACTTTGATCTGCTTTGATAAAGGTGGAGTGCTAATCTTTCAGAGGCACACCTGACTCTTGTCCTTCTCATCCAGGCAGAGAGTGGCCATGTGCCCTGACACTTCAGCAATCTCTAGCTCTTGGACTCTAGGGTGGAGAGCTGGGAGAAATCTTAAGGACCATTGAATTCAATGCCCTTTTCCCATTTCATCAAAGAGGAGAAACAGGCTTAAGGAAGGGAATAAAATTGAAACAAGTTCACACAGGCAGTAAAAGGGAGAGCTACAATTGAACCCCTATTCTCTGAGTCCAAATACAGTACTCAGTGCATCCAGCCTTCTGACCTATTCTATTCATATTTGTTGTGTTGTTCAGTTCTTTTTCAATTATATCCCACTCTTGGTGACCCCATTTAGGGTTTTCTTAGCAAATATACTGGAATTGGTTTGCCATTTCCTTCTCCACCTCATTTTACAGATGAGGAAACTTATGGCAAATAGGTTAAATGACTTGCCCAGGCTGGATTGGAACTCAGGAACATGAGTCTTTCTCGCTTGTGCTGTTGCCCGATGTAACTACTTTTCATCTGCCTTTCATCCTCTTCAGTCTCCTGTCTCCCTTCTTTGTCTACTGTCTTTCCCATGCCAAGAAAGCACTTCCCCTGTCTAGTTCTGTTGACGACTCTTCATTAAAGACCCAATTTGGGCACTGTCACTTCTAGCAGAGCTTTTCCTAACCCTTATATCTTTTCCTAGCTCTTTGCCAGGAACTCTCCTTTATGCCTCTCCTTCTATTCCTATTTGTTGGTGCACAGGTCATTGTTCTCTAGGAGAATGGAAATTCCTGCCATTTGATCCTCAATTCAGAGCTGAGGGCATTGCCCATAATAGGTGCTCCTGAAGTCTTTGCTCAGTTGGATCATACTCATTTTAGCTCTGTGCTTCCCTAAGCTGGGCTGGGGGTGGGATTATTGGGAAGAAGTGGTTTTGATCTTGAGCCTCAAGTTCCCCAAAGCTGGACAGCTCCTGAGTCAGTGGCAGAGCTGTCTCAAAGTGCAAATGGTTCTTCTCTGGAGTAAGTTCTCCATAACTGGAGATCTTTAAGGGAAATGTGAAAAGAATCATGGCAGAAATAGGAGGCTTGCACTCCCATATAAGGAAAATATGGTCATGGTGGGGGATTTAGAAGGGGCATTTGGACATCATTTCAGACCTCTGTCCCTGAGGATTTTGTCCCTTTTGTTCACAGGGCATCATGCAGATGACCTCATCAGGACCACTGAGTCTGGACAGATTCAAGGGACTCAAATCAGTATCAAGAGGATTGACAAAGATGTCAATGTTTTCCCGGGAATCCCCTTCCCCAAATCCCCTGTAGGGGCCCTGAGGTTTTCTCCTCCACAACCACCAGATTCCTGGAGCAATGTGAGAGATGCAACTACTTTTCCACCTATGTAAGTGCCTTCCTGTCTCCTTTTCTTATCAGATAAGCCCAGGGCACCATCATGTCTTACTCACATTTTGTCTCTCTGTGCTCTGCACACATTATACATTTGTTAAGTATTTCTTGAAGGCATGAATGTTCCCTGGGCTCAGGTAATTGCTTAATGATAACAGTTCATGTTTATTTGGATTTTAGAAAATAACAGACTTCAGAAAAATACTGAGGCACTTAGTACACATATTGCTACAGATAGGAAAACAAAGGCTAACAGAGATAAGAGGCAGCTTGAGTGGCTCAGAGAATAGAATACTGGGCCTGGAGTTAGAAAGACCTGAGTTCAAATCTCACTTCAGATACTTATGAGCCATGTGACCTTGGGCAAGTCACTTCACCCTCTTTGCCTCAGTTTTCTCATCTGTAGAATGAGCTGGAGAAGGAAATGGCAAACTGCTCCAGTATCTTCACCAAGAAAACCCCATAAGAAGTCACAACAGGTCAGACAGGACTGAACAACAACCTAGATTAAGTGACTCACCCAAGGTCACAAAGTTAGTAAATAACAAAGCCAGAACTCACAGACTGATAGGCTCAGAAAGCTGGAGGTCATTGAATCTGACCTCTGATTTTGTTTTTAAGCAGTTTTAAGCTTTTTGCTTTGGAGACCACACTTACTGCCACTTCCATACCCCAGCCTCTCTCCCACCCCTCCAACCTAAAGTTCCTCTGTAACAAAGAAAATCAAACTGACACAGCCAGCAGTGATGCTCTTGTTAAAATGCCTTTAGTCACAGTCTATCTTGGTCTAGCTCGACTTTCATCGACCTGTGGCAGGTTTTCTGAGTTCCTCACATTCATCCTCTCTTTCAGTGCAATCACATTCCAGGACATTCACCCACTTCATTCATTCACATTCATGTTATTGTTATTATTGTTATCATCATCATCATCATCATCATCATCATCATCATCATCACCATCATCATCATCATCATCATCCCCATGTGATTCTATTCAGATCATTCACCTTTTGTGTTTTCCAAGTGTTTGCAGGATGTCACTACTCTAGAAAAAATGGCAAGGACCATGAAAGTAAACATCCCTATAACTGCCATTTCTGAAGACTGTACCTCCATATCTATGTTCCCGACCATGCAAAGGAGGGGCCGGATTGCTGGTAAGCCAGAGCTCTGTACCTTTCCTAGTGGGGAATGAGAATCCTAAGGCATGACAACTGCATGGGACCTTGGAGGTCACCTCATCCCACCAGCGTGGGAACAGTCATCCTCTCTATATCTCTGGGCAAGTCATCTACCCTTCCCTGAAGTTCTTCTGGTGAGGAAGCTCACTAGTTCTCAAGGCAATCCACTCTACTTCTGAGTAACAACTCACATTTTTAGCAAATGTTTGCTTCTGTGAGGCTAAAATCTGCCTCCTTATACCTTCAAGGCATCTAGGTGACACAGTGGATAGAGTACCAGGCCTGGAGTCAGGAAGACTCATTTTGCTGAGTTCAAATCTGGCCTCAGACACTTACTAGCTGTGTGACCCTGAACAAATAACTTTACCCTGTTTGCCTTAGTTTCCTTATCTGGAAAATGAGCTGAAGAAGGAAATGGCAAACTACTTCAGTATCTCTTCCAGGATAACCCCAAGTTATCATGGGTCATGGAGAGTTGGACATTACTGGAAATGACTGAAATAACTTCATGCAGTTCGTTCCATGACCTGGAATGATATCAATTTCTGCTACAGGTTATTATTGCTAAAGGAACACAGCAAAGCATTGATAGAGTGTGATCTTACCATACACTTCTTGATCCTGTCCAGGGCTATCATCTTATTTCTGTATGGAACTCTACTATGCGGAAACTCTCTCTATTCACGAGGACAGGCACCTGTTTCGTAATTTAGAGTCTTGGCTTGTCTGGTGTACTGAGATGCTAAGTAACTTCTTTGTGGTCACATATCTCATATGGGTCCAGGGCAGGACTTGAACCCAGCCCTACTCACACCAAGGCTAGCCCTCCATCATCCACACTAGGCTTCCTTTCTGAAAATAAATGATAGTGACTAAAACTGCTCACATGTCATCTCCCCATGAAGCCTTCTCTGAACCTCAACAAACCAACATTCAACTCAACAACCATTTCTACAAGCCTGGAGCCCTTCTCCTCAGTGCTGGGGACACAAACAGAGGTGTGGTTTCTCTCACCTCTGAGCTATCTCAATGTTATTTTGGATCTTCCTTATGGCAATTATCATACACATTATGACACTTAGTACAGACAATGTTTTTCTGTCGTTTTTCGGTTGTGTCAGATTCTTCATCACCCCATTTGTAGTTTTCTTGGCAAAGATGCTGCAGTGGTTTGCCACTTCCTTCTCCAGCTCGTTTTACAGTTGAGGAAAGTGAGGCAACCAGGGTTAAGTGACTTACCCAGGGTCATATGACTCAAAACTGAGGCCAGATTTGAACACAGAAAGATGAGTCTTCCTGACTGAAGGCCCATCACCCTATCCACTATGCCACCTAGCTGGCCCAATATAGAATACAACAGTCTGTATTATGGTTTTTGATCCATATTCTATCCTTGACCTTTCGTTCACTGAAAGTACTTTGAGAACAGGGACCTAGTCTTATTCAAAATACCCATTACACATAGTAGGTACTCAGTAAATGTATTGAGTGAATGAATATACCACAAAGCCAGAGCAAGTGCCTAAATATAGGATTACCGATGTTGTTTTCATAAAAGGAGTTTGGAGTTTGGAATACTCCAGGGCTTGGAGGATTCGAAGACTAGAGGAAATGCCACCCATGCTGGCCCTGCAAAGGGAAATAATGAATGAATTTCCATTGCTTCCAGGAGACTAAGGGGCACCTGGAAGGAAGGAATGAGCTGGGGTGGGTGTCAGGTTGCCTCATTCCATGGAGCAGCGACCATTTTTACAAGAGAAACTGAGCTCGCTCAGGCAAAGCTCAGCAAGACTGGCTTCAGACCAGTTATACTAGAAAGAATGGGATCTTACAGTATTCTTCATTGTTAGTGCCCTAACAGTTTGTATTTTGTGTGGAGGGTGGGAAGGGAGATGGGTGTAGTAGCAACCAAACCACAGAGTGTGGTGAAGAGAACATAGCATTTAGAGGGGAAGTTCCTGAGATCAAAGCCCAGCTCGGCCACTTACCAGCTGTATGACCTTTTGAAATTCACTTAACTTCTCTGGTCCTCAGTTTCCTCATCTGTCAAATGGGGGTGTTTCACTAGGCAGTCTAAAATCCCTTTCAGCCCTAAAACCTATGATCCATAGGGAGCTGATTGTCCCAGGAAGATTCCAAAGAGGATCTGAACTGCCTCTGAGTCAAGTCAAGTGGGCTCTTACCTGAGATGTTCTGATGCATATCCTGTCAGCTCTTGATATACAGTATCTTGATAAGTGAATTCACTCACATGTAGAGCTACTTTAACATTGTTCACAAGGTAAGCACCAGGTACTGTGCTAAGTGCTGCAGTTACAAAACAAGAAAGCAAGATAGTCCTACTGTGTTAACCTAACCCCAGGTTGCTGTACTACATAGTAATAAGGCCCATGGTTACATTAGCTTTCCAAGTACCTATTTTCTGTAGTGTCTTACTCTAAAGCTACCTAACCTTTTCACTGTGCACTCTAGAATGTCTGCTTCATAAGTAACAAGCTTGTTTTCATCTTTAACCCTTTCCTTTCTCACCCCTTCTAGCTATTTGTACCTACCAAACCCTGACTTTTTCTGATGACACAGCTTTTCTGGTGACCATTTCCAGCCCTATTTCCATTTTCACTAATGCCTCCATCACTGGGAAGCGGAAATACTCTTTGTTTCCCACGACCACTTCAAGACTCTCTCTCTACCACCATCATTAAGCAACTTCTCCTCCTTCGAGGTTCATTCAGTCCATATTTATCACCTAATCAAGATTCTAGTAGCTGTTTACCATCCTCTGGGACACACTCCTTCCTTTCTCAATGAGTTCAGTGCCTTCTTTCCAGTCTTTCATCCTTTCCCAAGCCCCACCTTCATACTGAGGGACTTCAACATTCATTTTGATATTCCTTTCAACATTCTAACTCCCCAGTTCCTCAGTGTATTCCTTTCTCATAACCTACTCTTCCACCCCACCTCAGCTAGATGCAGAGATGGTACCACTCTTGATTTTACCCTGACTCATGAGTATTCCACTTCTATGTTCATTAACTCTGAAATTCCTCTATCTAGTTATACTCTCTTATCATTCCACTAGATCCTCTGCCTGCTAAGCCCTAACCCTGTTCTTCATACTCACCTTGACCTTCAATCTCCCCACCCCTCAGTTCTTTCCCAAGCAATCCCCCCTGCCTGGTCATATTCTCTCCAATTCTCCATCTTAACTCCTTAGTGAACCACTTCAATTCTACACTGAACCATTATCCTAAGACAAATCTTTCCCTGCCAAACCTCAGTCTTGGATTACTCCCATCAACCATTCCTTTTGCTCTTCTTTGCATACTGCTGAATGAAGCTAGAGAAAATCATGAAACCATGTTGCCTGCATCCATGCAGATTAATGTTACATAATCTTAACTGAGTCCTCACTCTGCTGAGGCAACATTTTTGAACCTAAATAATCAGTTCACTGTCTCATTCACCAGAGTGGCTTTTCTAAACCCGTTCATGCCTCCTCAAAGTTCTCATGGCTCATCCTCTCTTCACCATCTCAACTAGAGTCTTGCTTTCTATTTTGCTGGGGGGGAAATGAGCCACCCACTGAGCTCCCTCATATCGCCTCCTCGTTATCTCACATTGATCAGACACCTTCTGTTACTATCTTCTCCTTTACCTATCTTATGTGAACAGATGGACCTTTTTTTTTTACTTAGGTTAATCTTTCTACACACACAAATTATTCCATTCCATCCAGTCTTCTCCAGAAGATTGCCCTTTCTATCATTCCCACTTTCAAGATTCTTTATCTTGCTCTCTCTCTCTCTCTCTCTCTCTCTCTCTCTCTTCTCTCTCTCTCTCTCTCTCCCTCTCTTCTCTCCCCTCTCTCTCCCCCATTCCCCCTCCACCCTCCACTGGCTGCTTCCCTACTACCTACAAACTTGTCCTTGTCTCTCCTCTACTCTCAAAAAACTTTACTGGATCTATCTATCCAGCCAGCCAGCCAGCCATCCACTCATCCATTCCCGCTAGCTATCATCTCATACATCTCCTCCATTTTATGGCTAGACAGCTTGATTCTTTTTTCTTACTCTCTTCAACCTCTCCAGTCTGACTTCCAGTCTCCAGACCAGAGACCTACAGTATCCCATCTACAACTATCTCAAAATGCATGTCCCACTATAAACTCAATATTTCCAAAACTGAACTCTTTCCCTTTCCCACTAAGCCCACCCCTCTTTATAACTTCCTCATTATTTGTTAAAGGGACTAGTATCCTCTCAGTCACAGGCTTGTGATCTACATGTCATTGTTCACTACTCACTCACTTTTCCCCTCTATCCAATATGTTGCCAAGTCTTATTGACTCTACCCTTGTTACATCTCTCATATACACTCACTTCTCTCTTCTGACACTACCACCCCTCTAGTGTGAGCTCTTACCACCTTACACTTGGACTAATAATACCTGCTTGGTTGGCCTCCTTGCCTCTTCTCTCCCTGCTCCAGTTCATCCTCCACTCAGCTGTCAGTGATCTTCCCACAGCACAGGTCAGACCATCACCACATTACTCAGTCAATCAGTCAGTTAACCAGCATTTTTTAAGCACTTATTATATGCCAATGACTATCTTAAGCGCTTTGGATACAAAAGAAAGTCAATTCCTACCTTCAGGGAGTTTAATTCTAATGGGAGACTACATATAAATAGCCATATAGATACAAAATATATGCAACGTAAAGGAGAAGTAATCTCAGAGCGAAGTTGTGACAATTGTGATTTTTGAAATACATTGTGTCATGTTGTTGTTATAAGTGATAGGACTCCAAGCTGCAGCCACAAGCTAAGTTATCCTATGGACCAAAGAACATTTAAGCAACAGCAGACAGCCAGTACTTTCACAAGCCTTGACTTATTCTGATCCTGTGACTTAACCTCAGCTCGTGAATGGACTCCCAGCAGACTGCATGCTTTCTACTGGCACCCACTCTTGGAGTCCCTGAGTACTGCATCAATAAAGGATCCTGGGGAACTTCCATAACTTTAAGATTGCTCTCACATGTGCTGATTGTTCCAACCAAACCTCTCTTTAAGGGATAAGACTGACCTGCTCAGTCCCCACTCTGAGTGTGTACTCCCACCAAGATATTGCCACTGTACAATTCTCCTGCATATGAATGCCATGAATCTCTGTCAATGCAGGTTGCTATATAATGTTTGTTTGTGTGTGTGTGTGTGTGTGTGTGTTGCTTTCATTTTTGCCTGCTTGGTTCACCACATGGCAATAAAGCTCATGCTTCTCCTAGCTTCCCCAGGACCAATTTTCTATAAAGTCTCAAACTGGGGTCCTTGCTCTGGAAGATCCTAGAAGCGAGGGTGTTTGGGTGAGGGGGAGGAGGAAAGGCTAGATCTGTTGAAGAAGGTGGAATGAGAGCTGTCTCCAATTCCTGGTAAGTGTTATGTATCTGAGGCAGGATTTGAACTCAGGTCCTCCTGACTGCAAGGCTAGTACTCTATCCACTGTGCCCCCTAGCTGCCCCTAGGAGAGTGATGTTGCTGGATGACAGAGTTCATGGAGAGGAGCCTGGCCTCATCCTACCTCTCTACTTTTCTCATACTCTTTCACATTCGCTACCTCCTTCCTCATCCTTGAATAAGATATTCCATTGAATCTGTTCATTTTCACTGCTTTTCCTTCTGGTGTCCTTCAGGACTTGGTGCTAATCCCAACTTCTGCAAGAAGCCTCTCCCTGCCTCCCTTACTGCCAGGGCCTTCCCTCTGGAATCATCCCCAGCCTCTCCTGTATAGATCTTGTTTTAGACACAGCTGTTTGCATGCTGTCTCCCTCATTAAACTGGAAACTTCTTGAGGGAAGGGACTATGTTTACCTTTCTCTGTTTGCCCAGAGCTCGGTATAGTGCCTGGCACATAGTAGGTGCTCAGTAGATGTCTCTTGACTTGACATTCTAATAGAGGAAGAGAAAACAGAGAGTGCAAAAAAGGAGGGGAGATGGAGAGTGGGGGCAAGGCAGCTGGTGGGGAGGTGGAAGAGATCAGGGAGTAAGCTGGAAAGGAAGGAAGCAGCATAATGGAGGTACAGTGAGTCATGGAAAGAAGCATGCACTAGGAGTCCTTCGAGTAGGGGAATTCAAGATCTGTCTCAGCAATTTACATGTGTAAAATCAGAACAGCAACAACTAGCATTTGTATAGTCCTTTAAAGTTTATAAAGCACTTTATAAATTGTGTCTCATTTTATCCTTGCAACAACTCTGAGAGACACATGCCATTATTATCCCCATTTTACTGATGAGGTAACTGAGTCAGAGGTCTATGTGATTAGCCTATGGTCACCCAGCTAGTAGACAAACACTGGTCTTGCCAGGTCTAGGTCCAACAGTCTATCCAGCTTATCATCCAGCTAGAGGAAATCGTCTTTAAATGTCATAATCCTGTGAACCTGGTGTTCTTCTTCAGAAGTCTCCAACCTTCTCTAATATCTGGCTTTCAGCACTGGGGATGAGCATGCACCTGGTGACTGGGGTTACCTGGATCAGGTGGCTGCCCTGAGGTGGGTCCAGAAGAACATTGCCCACTTTGGAGGAGATCCTGGCCTTGTGACCATTTTTGGCGAATCTGCAGGAGGAACGAGTGTCTCCTCACAGGTAAGTGGTAGAGGCATGACCTTGGCCTGAACGGGGCCTCTTGTAGCCAAAACTAGTCTCACAGACCTGAGTTTGTCTTCCTCTTCTCTTCTCTTCCCCCTCTCAGAACCACTGGAGCTGATGACTTCTTTCTCTAAAGCTGGCACCTGCGCTTGCCTTTCATTTGGATGTCCCACCACACTCCCCTGCCCTAGTCCCAAGTAATTACCTAGGCCCTTCTTCCTCTGACTTTACTGGAGAGAGAAGATGAGTTATCCCTTTTTTTGTTTAGAGCCATTTTTACAGGTATTTGGAGGGATTTGGGGGAGAGCTCAAGCAAGTCACTGCTTTTACTCCCTGAGTTATCCCTTTTAAAAGGCTTGCTAACTAGTTTGAGCAAGAGCAAATTAAATGAAATAATTCAAGGCACAATGGATCCCAGATTTCACCACTGAGGTTCGCCTCTTCCCAATGCTGCTCACAGCCCCTCTGTGTCTTCCCAGGTGGCCTTTGTGACCAGCTGTGGCTGCAGATCTGCTCTCTCCAGTGTTTGCTGATAAGCCTCTGAGAGCTTAGCATGGCTGGCCCTCCTACGACAGACACAAAATCCATCAGGGGGCTTAGAGGCAAAGATCTTCTGCCTTGGCAGCCCTCCTCCCCCAGGAGTTTGCACATTACTGACATAGCCTCCTGGATGTGATAAGTCATGGGAGGAAGACTTCAGTGTAAGGATAATGCTAAAAAAAAATAATAGCTGATGTGAAAGTGGGAAATTCCTGTGACATAGTGGGAAAAACTGTTGGATTTGAAGTAATTTGATCCTAACCACAATCCTGGGCTTTCTCATAATTAACAAAAAAAAGAATAATCAATAAATAATGTTATCTTGTAATGAGGCATCACATAGGAAAAGCATTGCTGGGTTACAGAACACAAGCATCTTATCATACTTTGTTATTGAACCACCCAGAAGGTCTTGGACGATGGCCAAGGCTACTTAGCCCACTTTCCTGTCTAACTGTCTTATAGGCCTGGTTGTACCAAAGGTCCCATAAAGAGGCCAGTGTTTCAGACTGTCCTATCCGGTTAGTATAGGGTATCACAGGATGAGTAAGAGTCCTGGCCTTCAGACTCCCAGTCTCCTCTGTCTCTGCTAAGCCAGGAGTGTCTGGTCTTCCACATGACAACTTCCTCCTTCTCTCTCTTGTCGTTTGCTCCCCAGGTTCTGTCTCCCATGTCCAAAGGCTTGTTCCACAGAGCAATCATGGAGAGTGGTGTGGCCATCCTCCCTGGCTTGTTTTCTTCCAGCTCAGAAATGGTTATGAATGTAACTTGCTTGTACTCTGTTCTTTACAATCCCTCTTATCCTTCCTTAGGCTCATTGGCCTCCCAACCCCATGGCCCAGTGTCCCATTGGCCTTCTAGCTCTCCTGGGCTATAAGAAGGTGCACTGGAATTCCATTGACTGTTCAACCTGAAAGTTACCATGGAGACCATCTAGTCCAGCCCCCTCATTTTACAGAGTAGGAAACTGAGGCAGAGAGGAAGGATTCTGTTCCTGGCTCTGCTTCTTCCTATGCCTGTGGTTTTAGGTAACACATTTCCTTCTTGGAGCCTCAGTTTCCTCCTCTGTAAAAGTAAATTCAACTAGATGGTTTGTAAAGTCCCGTCTAGCTCCAAATTCTGATTTCTGACACCCCCAGAACAATAGGAATTGTTCCTCAAAGGGGCCCAAGTACAGGTTAGATGGAATGATCTGTACAATCCCTTCTACCTCTCTAGTTCAGTCATTTTGTGACTTGTTTAAAGTTTCACAATGAGTTGGTGACTGAGCTGGGACCAGAATTGAGGTCTGTGAGCCAATATCATGCTCTTTCAACATACCAGACCCCATTGTGTGTCCTTTATGGATATTTATGTCTTTTCTCCCTGAGGAGATGGTAAGCTCTTTGGGAGCAGGGACTATGTCCTTATAACCTTCCCCTGCCCATCTCCATCCCCATTGGCTGGCATTGAGCCCTGTACAGAGAAGGCTTGAGATTGGGGGACTCAACCCCTTTGGAGGTCAGACAGATTCCTGCTTGGTTGCCTTTTCACCATTACTACATCATCACCTATAGAAATGATTGTTTTCTAGCTCACTGATGGGTATGAAAGGATTCCTCTATTGTGATACAGGCCGGGGGTTCCTCCGTGAGAATATTAACTGTTTGTTGGTGCCTCTTTGCAGGTCTTTGCCAATCTGTCTGATTGTGATACACACAGTTCTGCCCCTTGGTTCAGTGCAAATTTGAAGAGATCCTGGCCATTACCAAGGTATGGAAGCTGAGAAGCAAGGGTTCCAGTACCAAAAAGAGCTGCCAAAACAGCTTAGGGCAGGGCTGGACACCCAGCCTTCATGAGGTGGGATTGAGGGGAAGATCTTGGGAGAGTCACTCTCTTAGTCGCACTTTCCCCCTAGTAACTAGATGATCTTCAAGGATATTTCCACCTCCAATATTCTATGTCCAAAGGTCTCTTCTAGGTCTCATGTTCTGCTTTCTAGGACCTCTTGTACCTCCAAACATTCTGTGCTGTCTACTTCTATTTTGGAGGCTAAAGTTCCATCCCTTCTACTCTGGACATAGTATGTGTAAGAATTCTTCCAAAATTTTGTGTTCTAAACATTGCAGGTTCTAAGGTTCTAAGCTTTTTCACTGTCTAGTCTCATAACGTTTTCTCTTCAAATATTCTCTGTTTATAGAATCATAGCTTTAAAGCTGGAAAGATCCATTCTAATCTGATTCTAATATGCTGGGTTCCAAAATTATTTGTTCCAAAATAACCTCCACTGATAATATTTGACTGTACAAGATATTTTTTCCAGCTGTAAAGTTCTATGCTCTAACATTCTATAAGCTAAGAAATGGTGATGCAGTTAGGTGGTGCAATGGTTAGAGTGCTGGGAAAGTGGACCTGAGTTCAAATCTAGCCTCAGACACTAGCTGTCATTTAACCTGTTTGCCTCAGTTTCCTTATCCATAAAATGGGGATAATACCACATCCATCCCAGGGTTGGTGTAAGGACCAATTGAGACAATAATTGTAAAGTGCTTATTAGTACAGTATCAGTAACATAGTGAGCACTAAATGAGTGTTATGATGGTGATGATGGTGATGATGATGATGATGTTGGTGGTGGTGGTCCCCCTCTAGCTCCAATATTCTGTTCTCTGTCACCTTCCAGATCTAATACCCTATGGATTTTTGGAAGAAAGAATCACAGTTCTGGGAAGGCTCTCTCTATCCTCTGGGATCGAGAGCTCTCATCTAAATATTCTTTTCATAAAAATAGGTTATGTATGTGTATATATATATATATATATGCATATATATACACATATATATAATCTCATTTCAATAACTTTGCAAAAGCCAAGTACCATTGGTGGTACAAATATGATGTCATTCCCAAATTACAGACTTGGGAATTAGAACCATTGAATAGAATCACAGAGAGGTGAGGGAGCTGTTTGTTTTTATATTTGTATTCCCAGAGCCTAGAACAGTTTGGGGATTGATGTATTGATTGGATATTTTACAAAGGAGAAACTAAGTCCCAGAAAAGTTAAGTCTCCTTGACAAATGTCATACAGCTTGCAAATATCAAGATGGATACATGACCCCAGGCCTTTAACACCCAAGATCTTTCTTCATCACATTATGGTGCTTCCTCAAAGAATGGAATTCTTTGCCTGTACTCACTTAGCTATAAGTGTTAGAGTCAGAGTAAGTGTTATACCAGATCTAATTGCATCTAATTTTTCATTCATTTGTGTATGAATCTTTATGACTTCATTTGGAGATTTCTTGGCAAAGATACTGGAGTGCTTTACCATTTCATTCTCTGGCTCATTAAGGAACTGAGATAAATAGGGTTAAATGTCTTGCTCAGTATCTCGCAACTAGCAAGTGTCTGATGCCAGATTTGAACTAAGGAAGATGAGTCTTTCTGACTACAGGCCCAGCACTCTGTCCACTATTCCATTTAGCTGCCCCTACATCTAATTACTCTCTCCATTATGCCATGTTGAATCTTCTTCCTTCCATCTGAAAACTATTATGTTTTTCAAGCTGATTTGATGACGGTTTCCCCATTTGAAAACTGAGGGCACTGGACCAGATGATCTTCTAAAGCACCTTCCAGCTCTAAATCTACAGTCTTATGAATATCCTTTGCCAAAGCACCTGGGAGGTCGAGTTTCATTTTGGCCACAGCAGATGCCAAGGAGATGGGAGAAGAAAGGATTCCTGACTTTCAGTGAAACCCAAGTCTGGTATTCAGTTACTGAACAGTTTGGTGCCTCCGTGGCTTTCCTGCCTTATCTTATATTACCTCCCTGCATGCACTATATGCTCCAGCCAAAGTCATCTGTCCTCAGTCTTCTAAATGTTCCCTATACTCTCTTACCTGTGTGCCTTTGTTCAAGTGTGTCTTGTGTCTATACAGCCCTCCCTTCTTATTATCATACTGGTTTATAAAGTGCCTTTCTCATAACAATCCATGAGGTAGGGAGTGCAAGAAACATTATTCCCATTTTATAGATGAGTAAACCTCTGAGGAGGTGTCAGTGAATAGAGAACCGGTTCTAGAATCAGGAAGACCAGATTTCATAGCTAGCAGGAGACACCCACTGGGCAAGTCTCTTAACCTCTATTTGCCTTAATCTACCGGAGAAGAGAATGGTGAATTACTGAGAAAACCCCATGGATTATACTGGTGCGCTATGGCCCACGGGTTCATGAAGCGTCAGACACAACTGAACAACAAGAAACCTGTATGGAGCCTACAGGCAGTGACTTCTCCACTTCACCACCACACAGTCAATGAACATTAGAGCTGGGATTCAAGCCCAGGTGTCTCCCTGTTTTCAATCCAGTCTTCCTTCCTCCCCCACCTGCTGCCCTCATAGCCCCCTTTTGTCTGCTGAATTCTTCCCCATTCATTAAAGCCCAATTCCAGTGCCCAGTTCTTTTAGGAAGTTTTATGGGAAAAGACAATGACAATAATGTAGTCCAATGCAACATTTTGGAGGGGAGGAAATTGAAACCAGAGAGATGTCATTTTCCTAAAGTTACAGAGTGTGTTAGGGGCTGACCCAGGAATAGAATCCAGATCTACTGACTTTGAGGCCAGGTCTCTCCTGCCATATATTCCAGAAGCATTTCTGGAGCAGTGTCTCTGTCTGGCCTGGGGGGACACAAAGTTTGAGTAAAGGAATGGGTCCAAGATGGAATTCCCTTTCTTAGGGCAGAGGGCTTTACGCCATACACAGGTAACAGAACCTAAGTCCACCATGAGTGTCACAAGCATATGCAGTGGGTACTCTGAGGAAGGAAAGGGTCCTTCTGGCTGCTATCAGAGAAGGTTTTGTGGAAGATGTGGGAGTTATATAGGCTCTTGAAGGAAGTGAAGAATTTCAGTGGATAGCAATGGGGGAAGGGTCATTCTAGCCATGTGGAGTGAAGTGAGCAAGGCAGAAAGGTAGGAAAAGGTGGTTGACTTACTGTAGAGAGCTGGGAATCCATTATTGGTAAAACATAACCTATTTGGCACAAGTCAGAGTCCACATAGTATGAGATAAGGCTAGAAAGGTAGAAGAGAGGGCTCTGAATTCTAGACTAAACTGTAAGAGGTTTTCTTTGGGTAATGGGAAGGTCATGGCAACTTGTTTTAATGACATTGGTGGTACATTTTAATGACAGTGGAGTGTCATGAGCAGATCTGAGATAGTGAAGGAGTGAGAGAGAGAGAGAGAGAGAGAGAGAGAGAGAGAGAGAGAGAGAGAGAGAGAGAGATAAATTAGAGGGGGAGACATGAAGGCCAGTTTGGAGACTGTTGCAAGAGTCCAGATAAGTGGGGACAGCTAGGTGATATAATGGATAGAGCACTGGCCCTGGAGTCAGGAGGACTTGACTTCGAATCTGGCCTTAGTAATTTACTAGCTGTGTGACCCTTGGTAAGTCACTTAACCTTCATTGCCTCCAAAAAAGAAAAAATAAGAGTCCAGTTAAGTGATAAAAAGTGTCTAAAATAGTACGGTATCAATGAGAATGATGAGAAAGTAATAAACAGAAGGCAGATTATGGAGACAGACTTGCCTTTTCTTTTTTTCTGCTTGTTGTTCAGCATTTCAAGATAATCCCAGGTGTAGTTGATGGACAGTTCTTCCCCAAACATCCTGGCTGCGGAGAGTTTCACCACGTCCCTTCCATCACTGGTGTCAACAACCATGAATATGGCTAGGTTATTCCTGTGGTAAGATCCTAGCATGTTCTATTCTATGCCAGCTTCTTTCTGATCTCAACAGTTTATGCTTCTCTAAAGAATCATAGACTTTCTGAATAGGTCAGGAGCTTGGTAGCCATGGAGTCTAAGCCAGAGTTGAAGGAGAATTCCTTCTATAACTTGCTGGACAAATGGCCATCCACCCTCTGTTTGAAGACCTCCAAGGAAGGAAAACCTTCTCCCTCCTGAGAGGGCCTTTCCACTTTTAGGCAGCTGTCACACTTGGACAGGACACCATGACATCAAGTGGAAATTTACTTCTTTTTTGACTTCTACCTGTTGTTCCCAGGTCTGCCCTTAGGGTAAATGATACCAATTAATTGCCTCTTCCAGGTGACCAATCACCAAATAGCTAAAGGTAACTATCATGTCTGCTCCTGCCCTATGTTTTTTCTTTGGCCAGCAAAACATATTCCTTCAACCCATCCCTATGACAAGACCATGAGCCCCTTCTCAGCTTCTCTATATTTGGACCCAAATATGGTGCTCAGAACTGAACAACAGATTCCAAATAGACAATTATCCCTCCCATATCACTGGGATTGGGGGTGCAGCACCCCCACCATCCGGAATATTCATTTAAAATCTTTTGGCCTGCTTTTCATATCCAAGAAATAGATTAAACTATTATAGTATTAAAATATAAAATATGTTGACATTATCATAATATTTTTTACAAATTTATGAGTTTCTAAACGTTTTCTATATCATCTGCTGGCCCTCATTTGTCACCTACAGGTTCCACAAAACTCCCAAACAAATTTCCATTTAATTTCTTATGCCTACCCGCAATATATTGAAATCACAATGAGTAAAGTCATGATGCAAAAGGGGTAACTGTAGCCTCCCCAGAGGCAGAGCACAAAGGGCCTCTCACCTCCCCATGTCTCTCTTAACGCTGCTCAGCATCCCATTGCTTTACCCTGTTGCCTCCTTATGGGCTGTAGTTCACCACAATCCCTAGATCTTTTTCAAATAATTTGCCACCTAAACAGGCCTCCCTTATCTTGAGATTGTAAGACTTTGTCCCCATTGACTTTGATCCTAGTGACTGTGGTCAGTCCAATATTCTAGCCTGTCAAGGCCTTTTGTTGGATCCTGACTCCATATTCCAATATGTTAGCTGGCCTTCTTGACTTTGTGTCACCTGTAAATCTGCCTTTTCTAAAATCAGACAAGTTACCTGGAACAGGTTTCTCTGGAAGAATCAGAAATGATTCAGCCTTTGGTTATTTTCTCTATGGATGACTTATTTCATGTATGAATATGCTCAGAAGTTTGGGGAAAGAAGCCCAAGCTAGATCTAGATTCCCTTTATTTAAAATATACTCTACAAGCCTCTTCATTTTGTTTTCTTTTTTAATTTTAAAAATTTTTGTAGGCAATTGGAGTTAAGTGACTTGCCCAGGGTCACACCTCCTAAGTGTCTGAGGCCTGATTTGAACTTAGGTCTTCCTGACTCTAAGTCCTGTGCACTATCTATCACCTAGACGCCTCAAGTCTCTTTATTTTAAAAGTGAATAATACTAGTTTATATTACATAGTACTTTATAATTTACAAAAGACTTCTCTCATAGGGACTGTGAGGTAGGGACCATAAAGATGTTTATCCCCAGTTTGTAAAATAGAGACCTGAGGCTCCCACAAAGGACATGCTATAACTCTAGTCACACTACTGGGACTAGAACCTGGGCCTCCTCGTGGGAGACTAGGTCTCTTTCCTATGGACTTCAGGTCATCATATCTAAAGGCCATTGGGGCCATATTAACTTTAAATGACATGATATTAACAACCGTTTGTCAGCTGCCTCCTTAAGCACATGCATGTAAAGTCAGCCTATTTACATTAGTCAGAAAAATATGATTTTATCTCCCTTATTTCTAGCACAACGTACTATAGTAAGAATCAGTCTAAAGCCACTAGTCATTATGGAAAATCCATGACCACTGTTTAATATGTACTGGTTATTACCCACCATTTTGCTAGCCATTTTACAAAATATCCTGAGAATTGTTCAGCGCGTATTGGGCATTATTCAGCAATTCCTAAACAAATCTATGGCATAGTTCCTCCTTAAAGGGTAAAATAACTTCTTTGGATTAGTTTTGTTTAAAAAATGCATAAATTTCAAAATGTTCTAAAGACCATTCACAGTGCACCATTTTTCTCTACACAGGAAATGGACATTCCTGTATTTAAGGAAAAAATAGATAAAGAAAGAATCCAATCATTAGTGCTAAGCGCATTTTCGGTGAGATAACAGTTAATCAAGCTTTTTTTTTTATAAGCACCTACTACATAGCAGGTACTGGGCTAGGTACAGGGACAAAGTGAAATACTCCCTGCCCTCAAGGAACCTGCATTCTACAAGAGAAACAACCTGCACATCCAGAGATAGATGGAAAACATTCAGAGAACAAATCTTGGGGGAGGGCTAAGGCACTACAAGCTGGAGGAGGCAGGAAGCCAGAAAAATGTTCCATAGAAGGTGCTGTTTGAGCTGAGTCTTGCCAATGCAAAGGCATGGAGGTGAGAGATGGAATGGGAAGGGTGAGGAGCAAGAAGGTTGCCATACCTGGACCATAGAGTGTGAGGAGGGTAATTGTGTATGCATTATTATATTTCATATACACATAATATATATTGTATACATTATATTATATATTATGTATTTTATGTAATGTAGTGTGTGTGTGTGTCTGTGTGTGTGTGTGTGTGTGATGTATTCATTATAGACTGGATGGGACCAGGTTATTAAAAACTCTATATATCAAACAGAAGAGTTCATATTTAATCCTAGAAGTCATTGGCATCCAGTAGAATTTACTTAGTTGGGGGAGGGGAGTACAGTGGTCAGATCTGTGCTTGGAAAATCCCTATGGAAGATGAGTGGAGGATAGACTGGAATGAGGAGAGATCCAAGGCACAGGGACCAATCAGGAGGCCATTGAAATAGTCAATGGAATAAGTTGGGCTTATTGCTTGTGGTTGTTCAGTTGATTAGTCGTGTCTGACTCTTCGTGGCCTTTTGGGGGTTTTCTTGGCAAAGATACGAGAGTGGTTTGCCATTTCCTTCTCCAGCTCATTTTACAGACAGAGATCTGAGGCAAGCAAGATTCAATGACTTGCCCAGGGTCACATAGCTAATACATGTCAGAGGTCAGATTGGAATGCAGGTCTTTCCAACTCTAGGGACATACTTTATCTACTGTGTCACCTAGCTCCCTTGCTTATTGCTTACAATCCACCAACAAACATGCCCAAACCACCCACTGCCAGCTGTCTTCATTTTTCTGTTTCTCTGTCTCTTCCTGGGTCTCCTATAGGATCTTCCTCCTGAGCTTGGGCATCTGATAATAGAAGAATATTTAAGAGATACTGAGGACCTGGCAGAAGATCAGGATCAATTGCAGGAAATGATGGGGGATTTAATCTTTGTTATTCCTGCCCTCAAACTGGCCAAATATCAATATGGTGAGTGCGGCATTGACCCTTTCTAGAATCAGCGTAAGAATGGCTCGACTCTGTGGCAGTGTGTGTATGTCACCCACGCCCTCATGCAGAAGGAGGCTCCTGCTTCTGGCTTTGCTATCAGAGCCTCCAGAGTGGTTAAAAGCCCTTGTTCACCTTCTTTCTTCTCACATACCCACCTAAGTGTAGCCGGTGTGAACTCAGTGACCATTCTCTATAAATAACAATAATTAATAGTAACCACCCATATTTCTATAAGCAGATGTTCCCAGCATGTTTGTGGGTATGCATCATGGACCCCTCTGGCCAGGAAAGTTATAGATTCCTTCCAGAGTAATGTTTTCAAGTGTATAAAATAGAATACATAGATACAAAACCAATTATTGAAATCAAGTTATCACAGTGCTCAAATTTAAAAAAAATCCAGAACTCCTACTGGAGTGTTTTATTGTTATAAAACACTTTACATCCATTATTCTCCTGGATCCTTACAACAACCTCATCCCAATGGATAGAACATCAGACCTGGAGTCAGGAAGACCTGAGTTCAAATCCAAATCCAGACATTTAGCTGTGTGTCCTTAGCAAGTCATTGAACCTCTGTTTGCCTCAGTTTCCTCAACTATAAAATGGAAATGATAATAGCACTTCCATCACAGGGTTGGTACAAGGCTCCAATGAGGTAATATTTGTAAAGCACTTTGCACAAAGTGCTCTATAAATGCATATTCATAGGGCAGCTAGGTGGCACAGTGGATGGAGTTCTGGCCCTGGAGTCAGGAAGACTCCTCTTCTTGAGTTCAAATCTGGCCTCAGACACTTACTAGCTGTGTGCCCTTGAACAAGTCATTTCACCCTCTTTGCCTCAATTTCCTCTACAGCATCTTTGCCAAGAAAACCCCAAATGAGATCACATAGAATCAAATATAACTGACAGGTAACTGAACAACAAATGCTTATTACCTCCCCCTCCTCTTCCCATAAGGTAGACACTCCAGGGATTATTATCTCTACAGTTGAAAAATCACCCTCAGAGTAATAAAAGGATACCCCCAAGGTCATATAGTTGGTAAGCAGCAGGGCCAGGATTCCAACCCAGATCCTGTTACACCAGACCCCAGCACTTGTCCTGCCTCACGGCATAGTATTTGTTAAGGGGCTTCCCTCTAGGAGCTTGCCTATTAATGGCCACCTACCACTGCCCCCCCACCCTAAAGAGGGAATCATACCAGGGGCCCCTGGCATGTGGCCCTGCCCTGTGTTTAATGTGTCAATAACCGTGGGCATTTCTTATGTTTGCCTAGGTCCCAGTTTTCCAGTCTACTTTTATGAATTTCAACACTGACCAAGTGTATTTAAGGGCCTCAAGCCAGATTTTGTGAAGGCAGACCATGGTGGTAAGCTGCGTTTTATCTTTGGAGCCCCTTATAAGCAATGGAGATGGGAGGGAGTGGGAAGCTGGGAAGGGGGGTGGGAATGGAGGGAAGGGAGGGATTGTGATCATGGCTGTTTTACAAAAGAGGAAACCGAAGTTCAGAGAGAGAAATAGACTGCTCCAATATCATAGAGTTAGCAGGTCTAACCCCAAATCCCTTAGGAGGCACTGAATAGGGGCTGAGCTGGCTGAGAAGAGTTTGTGTTTTCATTTATTATTCTTTGCATTTATATCTCCAACCCTTGGTACAGTGCCAAGGATAGAGGAGGCAATCAGTAGTTACCTGGTTGACTGAGTTACTGAAGATTAAGAAATCAGCCTTGGAAGTCCCCAGGCTCCATCTGCTTATTCATGTGAACTAAATCAGGAGGTTGAATCAGCTATTCAGTTCAATTCAGTTTATGACTAAGCACATGCAACATGCAAAGCCCTCTTTTCAACTTTGGGTAGTCTCTGACTTCCTGGAGTTTACTACCCAGAGGGGAAGATGAGGCGTGAACACCAAAAAGACATTTCCCTATGTTAGTAGATCACTGACCTCACCAATACCCTCATTCTCTCCTCTGGGTAGACCCTGCCCTGTCACACCATCTCATCCTGTGTGATTCTTGTCCTTGTGCTCCCATAAATCTTGCACAGAGGATCTGCCCAATGTTCTGGAAGCCTTCCCTCCCTCCCTTCTCCCCTTCTTTGCTCCATCTCTCTCTCCCTTCCTTCCTTCCTCCCTTTTCTCCAGTTGTTCTTGATTCACTCTCTCTAACAGTGCTTCCATTTCTTGATTGTTGGACAAAAGTCTCACATTTAGCAGTCTTCAGAATTAATGTTTGTAAATAGTGGCAAATCAGTGTTTTTGGAAGTCTTCTCTCCCGATTTTCACCTTCTTGCTCTTGTTCTGGCAGAACTGGAAGGCCAGTGTATCCATTTATCTGTTTCATGACTTGCCATGGCTAATGAATTCATTATATTATGACCTAGCTACAGCTGCTGAGCCTGTCTGCGCTGCCCCGTGGAGGGGCCTTGAATGACAAGCAATGTCTGGGGCAGGGGCCACATGCAAAGACTTTCCAGCTACCAGAGTTTGTGCTATGCTGTTGTAGCTTAGAATAACAATTGTTATTATTAAAAATAACATTTATAATAATCTTGCCATTGTTATAATGACATATAATAAAATATACCATTATATAATTCAGCATGTAATTTTTATATATAATACTTCATTAATATATTATATATTATTACAAGTAAATAATAGTATAAATAAAATATAATAATGATATCTAGTGTTTATTTAACATTTTGTCAAGTTTTGTGAATCACTGTATATATATGATCTCTCCTTTTTTTATACTCCCAACAATCCTGGGGCACATGTCTTATTATTATCAACATTTTTCAAGCAAAAAACAAAGGCAGGCAGAAGTTAAGTGACTTGCCCAGGGTCACTCATGTAGTTAGCATCTGACATTGAATTAGAACTCAAGACTTCCTGATTTCCAGTCCAGCTGAATCACTTTGTTTTTTGGGGAGAGACTCAGTTATGGTGTCAGACAGATGAGGCCAACAGAAGCCCTGGGAGGTCCTCTGGGAGGGGAGTGACATGATGGAAACTGCTGGAGGAAGATCAGTTCAATGGCCAGAGCAGGACTGACTGGGTGGTTGGGTCTGGGGGCTGGAGGAAAGGAGGCCTTTGGGTCAGCATTTTGGCCTTAACCAAGATCTTTGTTTTTCTGTTCCTAGATTTGGGTGAGTTAACAGAAGAGGAAAAATTCCTGAGCCACAGAATAATGAGCTACTGGGCAAACTTTGCCCATCACGGGTGAGAAAGCTGCCCGTTGGTTTCCAGATGGTTTTGCTGTGGGGTAGTGCCTGTTCCTAGACACTTAAAGGTTTCCTACTTACATAGAAGTTCCCTGTGTTGAGGGCCAGATCTGAAGAGTCTAATATGGGACAAGGAATTTAAGTCAGAGCTTGACTCCTTCTTTTTCCTACCCTTAAGGGGTCATTTACTCAGAACATTTGACTCACCAATTTCCTGTGCCTGCAAGGTGTTAGAACACTCTGACCAATCCTTGAACCTTGATAACAAGCAGGTGTATACAATTAAAGTTGCACATAGGGGCTAGGGTTCCTCACATAAAAATCCTGCAAACAGCTCAGAGGTGATTGTTAGCTTTCACTATTTAAACTGGACCCTCAGAATAATAAATGGTTCAGTCTTTCACTGACCCACCTGGTACATGTTTCTTCATTTCACACTCCTCAGTGAGGTGCATCACTTAGTTGCAGGTGAAAAGTGGCGCCCAAACTGGGACCTGAAAGACAGTACAAGGGAACTGGCACTCTTGGGACTCTGGAGAAGAAAAATGAAGAAAAAAAAAAACTTTGGTGGATCTACACTGTGGAAACAAGGTCATTGGCAGCTCAACGCTGTGTAAACAAGGTAAGAGATAGATGGTCACAAAACACTATCCTTTAGCAGTTTTAGGGCTAAAGGGGACACCGGCCAAATGGGATATAGGGAAAAGAAAAGAAAAAAGAAAAGAAAAAGGCTCAGTAATAAGAGCATAAGAAAAGAAAAGAAAAAGGTTTGGTAATAGGAGCATAAGAAAACAAAAAGGGCTCGAGCATAAGAATAATGTTGCTTTGGAATGGCCATACGCACATGCTTTTGATTTTGGGAGGCACGCTTCAAATTGAAAGTATAGGTCAAACACAAAGTGGAAGCAAAGACAGAGAAGGTTATCTAGAACTTTTCAAGGAAATAGTGAAAGAAAGAGGTTTGCTTATTACAAATAGTCAGTTTCAGGAATTTTTGGAATGTGTAGAAACATGTTGCCCATGGTTCCCTCAAGAAGGAACAATAGACTTAGAAATATGGGAAACAATGGGCAGACAAATGAGTGAGTACTATAGGGAAGTAGGTCCAGGTGCATTTTCCACAGCTACATTCTCATTTTGGAATGTGCTAAAAATATGTCTTCCTCCCCGAGAATGTGCTATTTACAACAAAAGTACTTAAGTCAGATGTGGGGGCAGGAACAAAGGAAGAAGAAGAAATGAATAGAGTATTTGATGAGAAGCTTAGAATTGTAGAAGAGGATGAGGAAGATATGTGCAAGACCTATCACACCTTCCACGCCATTAAGACCCCCACCCTCATATAGATCAGGCTCATATAGAGAAGATAATGAGGAAGAGAATAAGAATTTAAAAAGCCATAAAATACATTGTAAAGGGTTATTAGAAGAAGCAATCATAAAAGCAGAGGGAAAAGGAGAGGAAGTACCCATGGAATTAAAATTAGCTGTGCCAAAAACCATGCTATTTCCAGAATATGAGGAGGGAGATGTAAATAACCCAGGTACAAATATTAGAGTTCATAGATAGTTTGAATTTAAATTGTTAAAGGAATTAAAACAGGCTTCAGTTAATTACAGACCTAATAGTCCCTATGTACAAACATTGTTGGACTCAGTATCCAATACAGCATTAGCCCCATATGACTGGTATTCTATACTAAAAACATGTCTTGATCCTGGAGATTATTTCGTATGGAAGTCAGAATACTTTGAGCAATGCCAAGAATAAGTAAAATATAACAACAGAACAGGAGTTCCTATTTCTTTCGAACAATTAACAGGAACAGGGAGATACACTGAATTGCAGGAACAGTTGCAATTTCCTCTTGTAGCATAAGAGCAGATTATGAAAGGAGCTCGAGCGGCATGGTTGCAAATACCAGGGAAGAAGACAGAGGAGCTTCTTTTATTCAAAAAAAACAAAGCCCTCAAGAGACTTTTCCAGACTTTTTAGCTCATTTAATACAAGCTATACAAAGGAGTGTTTCTGACTCTAATGCAGCACAGATACTTCTACATAAACTAGCTAGAGAAAATGCTAATATGGATTGTGAAAGAGCTTTACAAGGAGGTAAACCTAAGATGACTACAGGAGAAATGATTCAGAGATGTCAGGATGCAGGAACCACACATTTTTAGGGACAAGTGACAGCAGCAGCATTTAAGAATAATTCAAAAATTCAACAAATATTAAAATGTTTTAATTGTGGGGAACCAGGTCATATAAAAAGAGAGTGTAAGACTTCCAAAAGGATACCACAAAATTTTCCCAATACGCCCTGTCCCAAGTGTCGCCATGGTAATCATTGGGCTTCTCAATGTGGATCTTTTACTGATATTGGTGGGCAACCTTTAAACCCCAGGCAGGGCCCACTCTAGCCCTAACAAACAGTAGGGGCTGAGCTATCTTTTATACAACCCAGGCCAGCTCTGACTCCACAATAACCACTGTGCTTGATCTTATACGTGCTACCTCAGGTAGCGCTGGATTGGATTTAAGTTGTCATATCTCTACAGAAATTAGTAATGATGTAGTTTGCATTTCCACCAGTGTATATGGTCCACTCCCTCCCGGGACTGTGGGACTTATACTAGGCGGAAGTTCATAGTCACTCCATGGTCTCATGGTTATCCCTGGAGTAATAGATTCTGATTATGTTGGGGAAATCAATGTTATGTTGCATGCGTTCCCTCGCTGCTACATTTCTATTAAAAAAGGGGAAAGGATAGCTCAAATGATTATCATGGAATATAAAAAATTAGGGAAAACGGCTAAAAGAGTAAGAGGAACAGAAGGCTTTGGGAGCACAGGGATGTTTTGGCAAAGAACTATCACAGATGCCAGACCCACATTAAAGATAGAAGTACAAGGAAAGGAGTTAAGGGTTAATAGACACAGGGGCTAACAAATCAGTCATTGCCTAACAGGTCTGGCCCAGGGAATGACCATTGGATCAACGGAAAGTAGTATTGCACGGCATAGGAGAAATAGCTGCTCCGGTGCAAAGTGCAGCATGGCTCACTTGGAAAGTGGAAGGACAGCAAGGAAAATTTTGACCATATGTGTTACCATACATTCCTTGCTGCCTTTGAGGAAGAGATTTACTGAAACATATGAATGTCACTATAAGTAGCAAAAAGTTTTTGTAGGGGTCACAGCCAAAGATAAAAGAACAGTATAAGTTCCCAAAATAACTTGGAAAGAAGGGCCTCCCATATGGGTGGAACAGTGGCCCCTTAATCTAGAAAAAATCAGGTCTCTTCAACAGACAGCAGAGGAACAATTAGCTGCAGGACACATAGAACCCTCCACAAGTCCATGGAACTCCCCAATATTTGCCATGAAAAAGAAGTCAGGAAAATGAAGAATGCTGACAGATCTTAGATAGATTAATACACAGATGGAAACTATGGGAGCATTACAACCGGGATAGCCTTCCCAATTGCAATTCCTGCAGAATGGCCCTTATGGGTAATAGACTTGAAAGACTGTTTTTATACCATACCCCTTACGCATGATGCTTGCAAATACTTTGCATTTTCACTTCCTTCAGAAAATTTAAAGCAACCTTCTAAGAGATATCAATGGATATCTTCCCCAAGGGATGAAAAACAGCCCCACTATGTGTCAACAATACATGGCAGAAACTATAGATCCTATTAGAAAAAAAAATATACAAAGGCATATATAATACATTATATGGATGATATCCTTTGTGCTCATCCCCAGAAGGAGAAACTGTCATTCCTGATGGATGACATGTCTAAGGCTTTACAAGATCAAGGATTAGAAGTAGCACCAGAAAAAATTCAAAAGACACCTTCATCTAGGTCAGATCATGGGAGAAAAAGAAATTTGACCTCAAAGGATAGATTTAAGAAAAGATCAACTCATTACACTAAACAACTTTGAAAAGCTTTTAGGTGACATTAATTGGATTAGGCCTCATTTAAAAATAGGGACTCATGAATTAAAAGATTTCTGTGACATCCTTAGGGGTGATCCGAGTCCTACTTCAGTATGTATACTGACACAGCAGGCTAAACTTCAGTTGAAAAAAATAGAGGACTCATTACAAGCTGCTATGTCCTGTAGAATACAATATAAGTTACCTATACAGGTTACTATACTAGATACCCCATAAATACCCTTTGGGTGTATTCATCGACAAGATAAGTTATTAGAATGGGTGTTCTTATCAGCACAGATAAAATATACCCTCCAAACATATCCATCTATGATAGCAGAACTGGCTAAAAAGGCATGTAAAAGAGTACTCCAGTTAGTAGGCTGCCTTCCATGTTCTATACATCAGCCTTATGATAGAAAGCAAATAAAAGATTTAATAAGCCAAGAACATTCATGGCAAATATTAGTTGCTATCTTTCAAGGAGACATTGATAATGTGTACAAGTACCCTATTTTACAATTTACTAGAAGGCACCAATGGATTATTAATACAATAGTCAAAAAGGACCCATTAGTGGGAGCACTGTCAGTTTTCACTGATGCTTCATCCAGTCATAATAGCCACTTATTTTATCCCTCCTCATGAAAGGTATATAGCACATGCACCGTTTGAATCCACTCAACAAAATGAGATACATGCCATAATTCTAGCATTACAAAGATGCACAGGCCCTCGTAATATATTTTCAGACAGCAAATATGCTGTAGGGATGGTTAATGATATAAAAACTGCTCAAATAAAAATATCATCCAACTATTCCATATTCCAATTGTTTATGATGTTACAACAACTCATTAGAGAGTGAACTTCGCCTCTACGTTACACTCATGTACCTTCACATACGAATCTCCCAGGATCTATATTATTCAAGGAAATAGGATAGCAGATGAGCTTATAAAGCCCACATTACTAATGTTAAACATTACAGAAGCCAAAGAATCACATGCTAAGTTTCATCAATCTGCTACAATGCTAAGGAAACAATTTGGAATTACTAGAGAACAAACTCGTCAAATAATAAAAAATTGTTGTAAATGCCTGCGTTACACTCCTATACCACACAAGTTTGCTATCAACCCACACGGACAACATCCAGGTGAACTTTGGCAAATGGATGTCACACATTAAACAGTTTTGCAAACTTACAATTCATTCATGTGACTGTAGACACGTTTTCTTCTTTCACTATGGCTGTGGCACAATCTGGAGAATCAATTAATAATGTCATAGATCACACGCTTCATTGCTTTTCTATCTCAGGAGTACCTAATATTCTTAAAATGATAATGGCCCAGCATATACTTCACAGTCATTTCGTATCTTTTGTCTTACTTTCCAAATAAAACACATCACTGGAATCCCCTATAACCATAAGGGACAAGCAATTATGGAAC